ACTGAGTCTCTGTCACCCAGGCTGGAGTGCAGTGGTGCCATCTGGGCTCACTATAACCTTTGCCTACCGGCTTCAAGCAATTCTCTTGCCTCAGCCTCTCAAGTAGCTGGGGCTACAGGTGTGTGCCAACACGCCCAGCTAATTTTTCTATTTTTAGTAGAGACATGGGGTTTTACCACACTGGCCAGGCTGGCCTCGAACTCCCTACCTCAGGTGATCTGCCCGCCTCGGCCTCCCAAAGTGCTGGGATTACAGGTGTAAGCCACCACGCCCGGCCAGCTTGAACTTTCAGACAGGTCTTTTAATAATTCCCTAGTGTGCTCACAGTTGGAAAGAGGGTTTTTTCTCCTTCTCTGTGGAATGAGCAGAATTAGAGAAAGAGGGGAAAATTTGTCACCCACTTAAAAGTAGTTGAATAGCAAAATATTTTATTTCTGCATCATAAATTTATAATTTGAACTGATCATTAGCTAATATATAATACAAGAAAATGAGGAAGGAAAAGATGTTAGTATTTTTCATTTCCATAAAGTGCAGATTTAATTTTCAATTGCTTGCCTTAGTAAACATTGTCTCATTTCAGGACCTCACCTGCCCTCACTCAAAAAGGGAGGGTAATTTTTATTTAACAAATATGTAAAACCAAGAAAATACGAAAGATCCAATAATGTTTTTTGCAAACATGTTTCCAGGTAAGGTTTCCAAGGACATCAGTACTGAGTGAAAAATAACCCTCTACAATCAATATGAATGGATACACTAACAAGTACAGCATTTAGACCTCCATGCTTATTTGGCCATTTTAAGGTCTCCAGTTATGAAAAAGGTACATAACTGAATGAACAGCTTGCCTTGACATGTGGCCAAATCACTTTCACCGAAGTTGCTGGAAGCCTTTCTCTGTTTTGGCCCCTTTAAGAAGTTAATTCTCATATTCCCTTAGCAATAATATAAGGTCACTGTTTCAGTCCTACACACCTTTATAGTCAATGGGCTTCCTGGATTACCACATAAAGACTGGCACCCTTTTCAAAAGAATATTGCTAACAGGGTTAAATGAGTGCTAATGGCTGAACGCTTGCCAAATGCTTCCTTCTGCGATAGTATAAATTTGCATTATTAAAGTTGTCTAATCAAGTATAAAATATATGCAAAACTCTCATAATAAAGGCAAAATGCTCAAAGGCCAGGAAAAACCTTTTTTTTTTTTTTTTTTTAACTTTTACAAGAAAATGCAACTGCATGGTCTCTTGAATGATCTTCTGCAGACAATTCTGCAGAAAACTTAGCAGTTTGGCTCAGAAAGTAGAGTTCCTCAGGAGGAATTAAAGTTCTTCCTAGGAGAATACAAAGTGACATTTCAGGCAGCTTTCTGAAAGTAAACCATTAGCCTATGACTACACAGTGAGACAAATGAACGCGTCATAACGAAGGCTTTCGCATTTGTAGTGATGCACTTTTTTCCTCTTACCCCGGGACCTCTAGCCGTTTTGTAATGTTATATAAAGGAG